GCGCCCCTGAGATACGCTACCGTCTATGGATGTTCTGATGCTACCATAGTTCTAGGAGCAGTTGGCAAGGTAATGGGCCGTAAGTTTTGAGTTCTGCTTTTAGAAGGAGCTAAGTAGATATGCATAAAGTAGAATGTGTATGAAATTTGTTTTCTAACAGGAGTGTGGAGAACAACAAGGTTTTTTTCATCTGAATGTTAAGTTGAGATACTAAGGTGATACTGATGATACTGATAATATGTGGAGCTGCCTTCAAGTGATGGAAAATTTCTTTGTCATTGCATGAATCTTTATCTTTCTCTTCCCCATCTCTCCCAGCTTTTTCTTACTCTAACATATCCGCAGGATACAGTGTGTGTAGAACTGGCTGTTTAGTTGACTGTTATTATGATTTAAAATATAATAACTGATGCTTTAAAACATAAGAACTGTTATATGCAATGCACTTGTATGCCTTCAGTTTGGAGGCATATAACTGATGCTTTTCTTGTTAAATGTTATATCAGCGGCTTCTTCAATTGCCAGGATGGAAGTTAATGCCCATTTCTTTCCTCTGACAGGCTGTAAAAGTTGAACACTGTGAACGAGTTCATGTAATTGTGGCAGCAAAACGTATTTGTATTGCTAATTGCCGCGAGTGTGTTTTCTTTCTAGGAGTGAACCAACAGCCTCTCATTGTGGGTGATAACCATAAGCTGCAGGTGAACTTACTTCCTGTTGCAGTAATGATGCTAATGTAGCTGCCTGTCAAGTTTCTGATTCTACTCATTGTTTTTAGGCCTCAAATGCAATGGCCCTACATATCCAAATTAATGATTTGAGATATAGCCTATTTCATTTAATTGATTTAACTTGACAGAAGTGGTAATATTGTACATTTAGGTGAAAAAAATTATAATGAGAGCATTTTATTTGTTTAGCTTCCTATAATGAATGGTAAATCAGAAGAAGGGTTGTGCTCATATTGGAATTTTATATTGGATGCAACATGACTCTTTAAACTACATGTTGATATACTCTGCTTTTTTCGGCTTTCACCATGTTTTTCCTGTTGATAGGTTCTAGAGTACGTGATGGATGTGGTATTTTGCTCTTTTTATGATTTAGGGGCTAGTTATTGGCTATGTTGGGCCCTGATGTTCATAGTTTTTGCCTTGATTTTATCAGATGTTAGAAATAGATGAGATCAGCGTTTAGGCATGAACCATGTCCAAAGTGTATTCAAATTGTGTTATTTTCATCAACTGAAGATAAACTGGAAATGACACATATTCATAAAATCAAAATATTTGAAATACATCCGGACTGAATAACCCTGATGGATTGTGTAAACTGTAAAATATTAGATGCCAAAGTCAAATGCAGTTTTGATTGGTTGGAATGCAATCCTTAGTTATATAACTAGAAATATGGATCTTTGGTCTTCTGGTCCCTTATCAATGTCTATTTTACCTGTCCACATTTCTGATTTTGGTGTTACCAGCTTTTGATAATGAACATGTATTTTTTTCTAAGATCCTCACTCTTCCCAAGTGGGTTTATTATTTGAAATTGTTTTCTAATTTTTTGTGTTATTAGGTGGCACCATATAATACATTTTACTCCCAGCTGGAGGAGCACATGACTGAAGTTGGAATTGTGCCCACTGTAAGCAGATGGAACGAACCTCTAGCACTGGGCATGGTTGATCCTCATGATTCATTATCTCATCCGGCGGGTGTCTCTGATGTTCAAGCTGAGTCTGCTATGCGGGTGGATCCTGATCAATTCACAAACTTTATGGTATGACTTTAAGCTGGCTTACAGGACAACGTAAGATTTTTATTTTAGGTTAAATTAACCTTTTAGTTTTCACACCAAGTTTTTAAGGAATTTTAATGTAATCCTTCAAAGCAAAGAGCAGTTAAGTCCCTGTTTATTTTTCATGACTTAGTAATTCACTTGCCATCTAATCTATGCTAGTTAGCTGCTCATCAGGTCTCTCTTCTTCTCTTTATCCCACGCACCCAGACTTGGTTCTTTCATTCAGTGTATTGGTGAATATCTCTTACAAAATGAACACAAGACCTTTAAATGAAAACAGACCAGGCTATATGCATAAACTGTCCAGTCAAGTAGAAGTTGAGAGGACATCCATCACACAATGCTGTTCTCAAACAAAATGAAATGGAGCATTCTTCTTTGCACTGGATGCTAACTGCTAACTCTGTCGTCTTTACCACTCTCTATGGAAACATGTGAAGCCCGAATTAAGTGTTTAGTGCAACAAGGAGAAATTATGTTGTGCTCCATGCTTTTCCCATGCATGATTTCACTTGTTTAACCATAAAGTAGCGCCTTTTTATCTGCTTTTTAATCTTTACTTTTCCTGTTATATTTTAGAACCATGTTTGTTTGCCGTGCAGATCCCGAACTGGCTTGGGGGCGAGCACACTGGGTCTACAAACGACAATCCATTTAAACTGCCAGATGCTTACATTGCATCCCAGCATAGAAATGTATGTCAACGAAGCTATTTGGAATTCCTTAGTGATTGGACTTCCAAATTTAGTGTTCAAACTATAGAAAGGCTGCATTTCAATGAATGATTTGATTTATATTAATAACTATCGAATTGATTAAAATTGTACCTTCGTTTCAGCAAAAAAATTTGGAGGAGATGAAACAACTTTTGCGGGAAACACCCTTAGAAGAAAGCCGAAAACGGGAATTGTCATCTGCACTTCATGTGTACTTCAGGGACTGGTTATACAGTAATGATTACTCCTCCTTTATTTAGTTTAACTCAAAGCATGTGTAGCTTTTATGCCTTTAAGGAGTGTAACACTCCGTGTTTTCTTATTCGAACAATGCGGTTGATAAATGTCTTCCAAACCTGGACCTTTTCCTTGCCGTGCTCACTGGTTGAGGTAGATTCGTTCATTTAGTAATATTATACTCGACCTTTTATTCTGTGTCAAGCTGATTGTTTAGGTAGATTCTTTTATTTAGGGGGTGTTTGGCATTCTCAAAACCGTGGTTTCAGAAGCACTTTTTCGCAAAACGAGGTAACGTCTTCCACATATTTACTTCGTAATCCGTAAAAGCACTTCTGAAACCATAGTTTGGTTTCTATCTAAACACCTCCTTAGTTATATTACATTTGATCTTTTTATTATGTGCCTATCCACTTCTTTCTCTCCTCTTTTCATCTCATGATTATGATTTTGCTTTTCTCGTGTTGTGGCAGCTTCGGGAAACATTCGTCAACTTTACTGTCTACAAGGTGATTGATCTTTGTCAGACATTGTTACGGCAGTTATTGAGGAAACTGGACGAAGGTTCCCGGTATTCTTTTTGAACTTCGTCTAGCCAATTCTGTTGGCTCCGCAGGTAGCTGAAATCAGAAGTGAATTAATGCTCACGTATTTATGTGGTGACATCGCGGGTGCGCAGAATAGAATTAAAATTACAGCTGCTAATCTGATTGTAAATTTTTTTCCCCTTTTTTTGCTTGTGACAATAGTTACTGTAATATTTTGTCAGCCTAAGTTAAGTGGCCACGTTTAAAATTTCACTGCCTGCAGTGCCAACGTCCAGTGTACTGCTTCGTTTTTTCTTTTCCAAAGACCTTTGACACTTGGTCAAGTCAACTTCACGGGAATTTCTCGTGAACCCATCAAATATGAATTTATTACTCCTCTGGTCCTAAGTATCGCGAACCCTCCTCTCATATATATATATATATATATATATTTGTTCTTAGTCTAAGAATTAGTTTACTAATTTAAGTAGATTAAGAAAACTAGTTAAGTTAGTTATTTATAATAAATATGTGGTTTTTTCTAAAATATCTTTACTAATCAAGTGTATTATTTAGAATTATTGTTATTATAAAGACTATTTTGAAATAAATAAATAAAAATGAGAGATAAAATAAATTGTGGTTTGTATTTAAGATCAAAATAAAAGTCAAACAAGTTTTTATATTAAAAATTGGAGGTAATATGATGTCAAAATTCGTGAGCATACCTCGTTGATTTGCTCAAAATTAGATGCAAGCCTAATGCATTGTTCAAAATTGAAAATTTGAAAATTGAATTATATTAATTACGACTTGTACATATTTACGTTTTTATACTTTATATTGATTGTTACCGCTCTTGGTTAAGATAATTGATTGTTGTGGAAATATTTAGACCATTCTTTTGCAGTAAAATCTAATCTGTTACATCGAGAAAACTTGCCCTCATCTCCAATATAAAACTGTCTTAGGCGTATAGTTTTGCAGTCAGAAGCAACATTGTAGTCTGTTTTTTAATGTTTCGGTTAGGCAAAAACCTTTGACGAAAGTTATGCATAGAGCCCTACGAGCAAGTTCGTATTGATGACTACGGGTAATGATGTGGGTCATGAAATTGCAATTGGCCCCCGACCTAAATAGAAGTGCTAGGTTGACCACCAAAGGTTAGTACAAATTTACACCGATTTCAACTGCAACTAGATGCGTCGTTACAATTTTCTGAGAATATGAGATAGAACCCTCGGCCTTGGCGCGGCACAAGTAATCTTCAAGGACGGCGTAAATAAATATTAATAACCTTTATTTTATAATCTTAATATAAAAACTAATTTAATTTTTATTTTGATCATAAATATAAAACTTCAGTCTATTTTGTTTTATATATTTATTTATTTTTTAAAAATAATCCTTATAATAGTTACACATCTTAAAAATTTCATTAAATGATAATTTTAATTAATATACATTATTATTAAGATATTTTAGAAAAGACAAAATATATTTATTATAAATAATTAATTTAGCTAAGTTTTCTAATTTTTTAAAATTAATCAACTAAATAAGGACTGAAGGCAGTATTAAAACTAAAATTTGAAGATAGATAGATGCCCTGTCAACCACACGACTATCCTTGACAATGGTCGGTTCAATAATTTACCTCCACTGCAATTCCATAACGTCCTAAACGGCGGAGAAATGAAAAGGCAAGAGTCTCGGGTGGGATCATCTGAACGTATCTTGCGATCATTCCACATCAAAAAAAACAACGCGAAAAATTAACATACATCGCCGAGCTCTGCGAAGTTTCCTCGTCGATCAGTGGCACTCATCCTTAAAAAGAATCCCGACCATTGGCTAATTCGGAATGATGCATTAAACAGCATTTATTGGAATCAACCAGTTCACGAGCACCAACTTACAACCGAAAAGATATCAAAAGACGGCTGAGGATGTAACCCCAACTCGGAAAACACGAGTGATCCGCCCCTCTCATCAAGTTAAAACGTCTTCATATGGACCAGTTCTTCATGAATCAGCATCCGATCTTTTCTTGGTGGTGTAAGGATAGTACTCCTTCCCGTTGTCAATTCTTGTAGTCTGACCCCCAATGTCAATAATTGATGAAGTCACTGCCAATGCTGTTCCCGCAGAAATTGCGGTTGAGATGCTCCTACCTAGAACAAAGCATTATCATTAAAATGCATCTTAAAAAAATGCATGCTAATAACATGTATAACCATGGTTCAGTAGCCTACATCAGATGCAGAATGTTAACCTTGCAATGATGCTCAGCACAAATGATTCGTTTTGTATAAGTTTACAGCAGTCACGGCCATTTCAGACAACGTGCAATCATGAATTGAGAAGGAAAGGTGATAAATAATAAGCTGGTACAGGACAGTAAACACTGTCCTGAGGATTGGGTGCTATGGAGAAATAGATGTAGTTTATCACAGCTCCTTAGCAAACAGTTAACATTGCAACTCATTTAAATGAAAAACGGGGGAAGAACGAAGATATCATTGAACCATATAATTTAGTAAGCAAGCAACATGCAGAGTAATCAATTCTGAAATCGGGAGCACAACGAAGGGCTGTATTAAATGAATAATGACAACACTTGCAACACAACATTTTACTAGGGATCCACACTGAGTAGCAAAATCTTGAACATAAATATTTATTAGATAAAAGGACTACCTCTGTAACCCAGAATAGTAGCCCCAGCAGCAAAACCACCGACCGCCCCATTAATAAAGTCCCTCTTTGCCCTATAGTGCTGCACCAATTGCTCTACCCCTATGTAGACTCCTCCTATTGCAGCAAATGTCATCCCATAGTTGCCCATCATCTTCAAAGTTCGCATCAACCCCGGAAGAGCAACATTTCTCTCAACACGAGGAACATCATACCAAGTTGCAACTATGGTTCCCCAGATGGTACCAGCAACTAAACCAGTCGTTGCACCTTTCAAAGTTTTCATCGTTGGTGTATCCTCATCCTCCAAGTACCTTCGTTCTGCAGGGTCCATGATTTTCTCTATGCAAGAACGCAAGTTACCAAAGGAATATATTAATCAAACATTCAAACCACAGTAACCCTCCGGTGAATGCAGTTGCAACGCCTGTTTGACTTCTATCTACACCATTTTGAAACCTACCTTCAAAAGGGAGACGCCTTCCTAGATATTCAACCCCCCATGCAGGAAGTCACAATACTTTCCAAACATATATTATGTCTCCATGCCTCATTGATCATGCATTTCTAGAATGTTTGCATTTAGCCTAATTTCAATCTCGTAAATTGTAATCACCATCTTTTTTTAAAAAAATAAAAAATAAAACTAACATCATCTCCTGCAGGAAATTATGATGGTATTATCTTGTTCGCATCGTCGAAAATCTGAGTGGCAGAAATAATCAAGTCATTGACACAAAAAAAGAAAGATAACAAAAGCCCAAACAGATAAACGTATAGTAGATGTATCGAGGCATAATCGCAATCAAAAGTACGTATTATAAACAAATTATCAGTAATCAGATCTGAAGCCGCTGATAAAACATCTATCAAATAAGCAAAGATCAAGATGAAAACCCTAAGAAGACGCACAAATACCGTAGGGATGATTTTAAAGAGGCGAATTCACCAAGCTGGCCATGTCTTTGGAGATTAGAGCTCGTGGAATTACCAGAATTAAAGAAGAAAAAGGGGAGTACCTGTGAGAGCTGAAGGAGAGTATCAGGCGACCAGATTGAGAGCTTCTGGACTCTCGGACTCGCTTTCCTTGTGGCCTCGCTCGGTCGGTTGCCCGTCGCCTTGCTGAGCCTTGCCCTGCCCCATTGAGTCACGTGTTTTCCGCATGCTCTTCTCGCGTCTCTGATTTGGGCTGCACAATTTAAGATTTTTCTTTTTCGCAAAACAATTGAAATTTTGCGAAGTTAAAATAAAATGGTCCGTTTTAAATAAACCAGATAAAATGAACCTGGTATATTACTATGTAATTTTTCCATTTTACAATTAATCATTAATCATTTAAAGAATAAGATAATTTACGCTACCTCTTATATAATTTATTGAAGTTAAAAATGATATTATTATTACTATTACTATATTTATAATATATGCTCCGACAACTTCCTGTATTTAAATTTTTTGTTTTAAAAAAAAAAAATTTCAAGGGTGGGCGGGAAGGGACCTTTACTTACAGTTGCAGGAGTGACTCAGTGACCCAGAATCAGAAAGGTGTGTGCTTCTGGAGATTGCAAAATCACCGCCAACACATTTAATAACCAGGATTTTGGAAGTTATAAATAGTGGGAACTTGTGACAGGCGGTTGAATACTACTTCAATTTTGTTAGAGATGCTCTAGATTAGTAAATCGTATTTGTCTTGGGGTTTCACGTTCATCAATACTAGTTGCTTATACCTACCTGTATTCTACACAATGGTGTTATTGCAAGGATAAGTTTAGGGTTACCTGTTTCATTTTATAAATTAATTTGGCCATTTCAATATAACCGCAGAAATCTACAGGAACTATTCTACTTGAGGAATGTGCGAGTCTCTCCCCTCTTTATGTGTTTCGATTGGCTCTGAGATTCTTCGTTCTGTTGGTGTTCATTCAAACAAGTATGAAACAGATCATGCAAGAAACAATATGGAAGCCACTGCTCCTGATATTTCTATGGAGAGTTCGCAGATTGATTGGGACATATATATGTGAATGCAATGGTGGAAGAAACAGATGAAACAGACAACGGGTCAGGTCCTTATGAAATCATTAATGCCAGTGACATTATACAGAGGAGTTCATCTACTGAAGCTTTGGGATGTGATCTGGCAACTACAAAGGAAGAACATGGTACACTCAGATACCTTGGGATGCGAGCGCCCCAGATGAAAAGCTGGAGACAGGGAAGAAAGGAGATACCTTGTTGACAAAGATTACAGAAATAAGATTATTGATGATCTCTATGAGGTATATCTTGGATATGTTAATGTACTGTTTTAATGATAGAGTTCTTGATTCCCCCCCCCCCCTTTATATAACTTCTATTCGGATTTGCTAGCCTAGGCAGACATATAGAATAGGCCTAGCCAATTTTGCACAGACTATTGGAGTACAACGAAGTGAAGATGAAAGAGGGGTTGAAGGACTTGGCTACTAAAAGTATCGAGCTGCAAAACTCGTTATTTTCTGGCGGGCCAAAGCAAGTGAGCTCCACTTTTCGTATGCGTGAGCAAATTCCATACATTTTAACCTGGTTGTGAGCAAGTCTTTTTTCATTTTCTTTTATTTGATTTGATGTAACTTTCTTTACTTCTCGTCTTTTCTCTGTTCTTGGTATTTAGAGCAGAAGTGACAATAATCATCATCCCTGCACTCTGTCTGATATCAGTACTTAAAAGTAATATTGGAAGTTATATTGTCATATTTGCAATTGACCTGATTGTGTTAATGGTGACCAAACTTACTTGTGCAGAACATCTTTAAGTCAAACAGCCGATCATGTTTGTCAACGTGTATGACTTGAACCGCATCTACCACTTGTGCCAAGCAAATATTTACATATAAAATGTTCATATATGTTACTGCCGTAGAATCAATTCAAAGAAAACTAATCCAAATACCAAAGTTTGACAGGCGCACCTCTAGCTAAGCACAAGGGAGCTGAAGCAATTGTGTGAGGGAACACTGTCATGTTTGACGACGAAAGACCTGTCAATATAATAAGAGAGATCAACACTCAGCTAACTACTGGCTTTGGAGCTTGTAGAAGGGTGCTTGTTGGTCACTATGTCATCCTGAAAGATGATTAATAGCTAAAGAAGAGGAGCCTTGATGGTCAGAGCTCTTTTCTTCAACTTTTTTTTCTGGGGTTTAAAAAAGAGGTTGCATTACGTGCTCATTTTACTACAAGACGATACCTTGACGATGCGTAAAGGTACACAGTTGGATGATGGAAGATTTGAAGACAAATAAAAGATTGAAGTGTGAACGAATTAAAGGGAAAGTGTCTACAATGGTTTTCCGAGCAGAAATTGGTGGATGGTATGATTTTACTATGTGTTGTTGCTTGTTATCATTGTTATCATTAGATGCTGGTGAAGAGGCGTGAGTTCTGAGTTGTTTCAGAGCTGAGGCCCGTCGCAGGCCTGTAAAAGCAAGATTCTTAGCAGTCACAAACGGCTTTAACCCCAGACAAAGACCTATTCATAGAGGCAGAGTGGGATCTTTTCGTCGTACTCCTTCTGGCCCCTTGGGATTCCCTGCCTCCGTGACACAACCTCTCTATTTTTATGTTAACGTCGCCTTTAACCAGTAGGTGAGGCTTCATACCTAACAAGAAACCAGTGCCGCTTGCTGGGCATCATTTTGTGCGAAGTCATTGCACGGGAGAGAAAGGGGATTATATCTGGGCTTCTGATAGTTGTCAATGAGAATGGATAGTGAGAGAACTGGAATCTATAATCACTAAAAGAGTGTTTAGATTAACTGAAATGGATTTTTTTAAAAAAGTTGACCAATAAATGTCTTGACGAAAGATATGCAAAGGAGGAGGGTACAGAGTTATTAAGATAACATTTATGAAGGGTTAGGGAAAAGGGCCGCAGCAACTGAAGAGGAAGACAGAGATGAGAATGGAGTGGATTAGGGAGGCAGTATTTGTGGGGCCACCCTTATTTGCTGAGCATGTGTTTGTACTTTTCTATGTGCCACTTTCTTCTCTTCTGGATCTCTTCACCCGCAACACATGCCAGAGGACACTTGTGTTGAAGAAAGTAAAACGAGCAAAGAAGGCGAAGGCGGGGAGAGAGAAAATGAAACGAATTGTGAACATTATTTTCTTGAAGTTATACACGTGTTCTTAATATAAGCAAACGACATTAACTTATTGTTGACAGCTGTAACCTAACCTGAAGCTAACTAAATCAGTTTGACAAAAAAAAAAAAAAATTAATTCTCACCCTTATAGAAAGAATCCCTATGAATCCCTTGTATAGCATATAGTACGCCATAAAAGAGAGGCACATGGGGGGAATCAAGCGTTAGCTGATCAGGACATGCACAAGAATGTATGGCAATCCCAATCACCAACGCACCATTTAAACCCCATTTAGTAGAAAGGGAATTACACGTGGAACTGATATAAATATTACTACTTGTTAACTAGAAATAAGACAGAAGAAGAAAGGGTTAATATGTTAAATATGGAACTCGTAGAATCCCTTAGAAGCAGGATTTGACGGAGCAGTGCCCAGAAGCAGAGCCCCGCACATGCCTTACCAAATCACTTCGGCCCCACGACCCCATCGCCATGGTGTTCTCACATCTCATTTTCTGCCCCCTTGCCACTTCACCATGCTCCTAAGCCTATCAACAATACGCGGCACTCCGGGATTCCCAATCGTCAAATGTCATCTCCAATATTCTCGCATCATCTACTCCATCCATTATGCGTCCTCCACTCACTGGTTAAGCTAACACGACGCACTCGTTAATCTATGGTCTACTTTGACACTTCATGTTAATTATATATAAAGTTGAAAGAAAAAGAAGATCAGGAAAACAAAAAAAAAGCGTTGGCTGTCCTCATAGAGTATGTACTCATTAATTGAAGAAGCGACAGCGATGACGGACCACGGATACAAACTTACAAAAGCGTCACGCTGACAAAAAGATTTAAAATCCATCGTATATGAAGAAGGTTGCGAGTTTAAACCTTCCAACAATCCAAAACACTGCCTGATCGATCAACCTCGTGTCGTAGTTGACACATCATATCATATTCTTCAAACAAAACGCAGAGGTGGGAGCAGTCTAGAGAGACCAGTGCATGTGCTGCTGAGAATCTTCATAGACCCTGGACTGCTCTAGATCCATGTAATGCCTCCTGCCCTGTTGTGACACGTCAAGCTCCCCAGGAAGAGAGCTACCGATAGGCTGCGAAATTTGATGACCCAGGCCCAGGTCAGGGACGACGTCATGAGAACAGTTATCAGCAGCAGCATCAATGCCCTTGAAGCACCACGAGGCATTTGAAAGTTGATGATGGAGGGATGTCCCGTGTCCGTGATGAGAAGAGGCAGGAAGATGCGTGATGGGCGTGTCGTCGAAGCTCATCAAATTATTTGTACCAAGACTTGGTGCTCTGTTTCGAGGGGCCCAAGCTTGGTTTGACAGAAGAGAGAGAGCACAGCTTGAGTCTGTCAATCCCGAGAAGCTTTCCCCTGATGAAGAATTTCTGGATCCAGAGTAGCTTGTCCCGCCAACTGGAGAACAGCCTGCTTGCAAGAAAAGCAGTGATGGAGACTCTGAATGGCCCGGCCATGGAAATGTCACTGTTGGATTCCCAGGAAGCTGCTCGGATGATGGTGGTGTTGGCACTGAATTTCTCAGGCTAAGTTTCGGATACGAAGCGAATTCCATTAGAAATCCACCACCTCTGCTATTGCTGTTATCTGTCAGTGCAGGTGTGAAACAATTGATTCAGCTCCAGATGCCAAGAACAGCACACGTAAAGCAAAAGAGGGAAATGGAATTGATATTTTACTGATGTTAATGTCTAACCAAAACTAGCTGGAGCAAGTCGGCCATATCGAGAAGCCATCAAGGAGCTCGGTGGGGGTTTCCTCCTCCGCTCATTATGACCAGCAAGCCGCCTGCGACAACTTCGTTTTACTTGATCAAATTCAGAAAGCTGGTGAAACCTGGTCAGGACCATCAAACAATATATTAGCTTTCCTGACTCAATAATGGCCAGATGTACATAGACAAAGTTCCTGGTTATATATGGATTGCAAACATAAGATTTATGGAGTATTACCATGCATCCAACTGAAACCAATCCTCAGCATCACAATTACTGAAACCTAGTTAGTTCAACTCATTTTGACGCGGCAATATATTTTCACACACATATCAAATCTTAAACAAGAGATCGTGAACTCCACATGTAAAATACTAATTTATACCGGTAAAGGCATGCAGCAAATACTCAAGGAACATGCCTGAAATAAAATATACGCATATTATATGAGAAATTGTGATTAACAATGCAATAAAAAAGCAATTAAAATTTAAGTGGCAAGCCAGCCAATCAAACGTGTCAACATCCCATGAATACCTTATTCCGAAGCCTAAAACGTTAGTCCAACTCCAGAAGAAAGAGAATGTGAATTGAAATCCAGTTGACATCCTAATGATAGCATATTCTTATATTCTTATGTATAAGCGACTAGTATTTTATTCTCGTCTATCAGTGAATACATTAAATTGATAAAAGTTTTCACACTCCCTGTCAAAGAAAGAATGTGCCCAAAAAAAAAAAAACCGTTGTATATTTTTTCTCACCTATTTTTTTTAATACATTTAATAGGAATAAAATTAAAAAAAAGGCTATTAATTACTGCAGAACAAATATTCTTCTGCAGGTGATTTACATATAGAGGGGGACATTTTAGGGAATTACGTTCAAATATATCGCATCCAAGTCATATCAATAGGCCGGCCAAATAGGGGCCTAACTAGTCCCAACCTCCAAACGTAGCAATTGGCCAGCTCTTGTTTTGATGATATCGACATAATTCAAGTCCCAAAGGCAATAAAAACGCCACGAGTAATGAACCACAGTCCAGTAAACCAAGCATGAATCAAGCAGAAGAGCAACACTAAAGATGTCATAATCTCGAATTTTACACGTTTATATGTTGCTTTTAGAGATAAGTGTTGGTTATGATGTCATTTTCTAAACTATCTCCATCCAGCATTAATTCAAGGCTTCCAAGCACAGGATCCACAAGGAAATACTTCCATATCCCGTCAAAAAGAATGGAGTATTCAATAGCTTCATATTTCATACTAATTCAAGTCAATGCACCGGCAGACAGACAATTTAACGCATCGTATGGTTCACCAAACTAGCTGGTCATCCACCAACGAATTTTCCAGGTTTTTAGAAATGTTTTCCCGGCAATACTCGCCCAGGATGCTACTATAATGCTTCAGAACCAATTACTTAAGTTAAAAAGGGAACAAATCAACATATTAACCGCATAGTTATTCTAAATGTACAAATTTGGTTAAAGAAAAAAATCTCAATGTACAAAGCCAATAAAACCAAACCACAGGCTAACAATCAACGAGGAAGAAAGGGAAAAAGAGGAAAGCTCATATAAAGCACAACATGACATCAACGGCAAAAGCCCTCACCACCCCACAACCAGAGAAAACCAATACAAACGAACATTACACGTCCTGTCTTGTCTCAGTTTGTTTGAGCAGGGAGCTGTTGTAGCCTATATAGGCTTACTAGATCAAGCATGCTCACTCAACACTAAATCATAAATTTGCATCCTGTTTCCTCCATATTTACCTTCCACCCCTTAAATCCTTGAAGTTTTAACCTCGAATTTACCCTCTAAACCCCAATTATAGGACTACTAAGCCCTATTCCCCGGCGGCCCAGCACTAGAAAGGCAGACATACTTGTAACCACAGCGACATAAGATGACAATTACCTACAACGAACGAAATGATAAATAAAATACCGATGTCAAAAACCAGGGTAAGAGAGCGGTGACAGAGGGCAGGCACAAGCACATTCTACAAGCAGAGACAAACAGTTTCCATAAACTCTAATTAAAATAAAATGAAACGGCTTTTAAAAAAAATAAAGACAAATAAATAAGAGTCCGTTGAATTGAAAGTATGGGAAGAGAGAAGAGGAAGAAGCGGGGGAGGGGAAAAAGGATAAATAAAAGGAAGAGAACAGAGGTGACCTGCTACACTGTTGGCAAAACCTTTGCTCTTGACCTGCGACAACGACCCTGGGTGATTTGGAGTGCATACTACAGACTTTATGTCTGGAATAGTAAGCCTTGGCATCACTCAGATCTACTTTGCAGCCCTCCACCTGACACCTCGGAGGCTGAGCCCCCTGAGCCCCACTACCCCTTCCCTTCTTAGTCGGGGTCACTCCTGAAGACGACGACGACGACGCCCCGCCGCTGGATTTCACAGCACCTCCCACGGCCACATCCTCAAAGTATATCTTCTGCCCGAATTTCAAGCCGTTCAGGGACTCCGTCGAGGAGTTGGAGGCGGCGGCGGCGGCGGCGGCTGCTTCAGCAGCAGAGGGGGAACTCATAAGTGAATAGTAGCAGGAGGGAAAGCAGGCTAAATTCTGCTCACTGAAGAATATGGGGAGGGAGAAGGGGGGAACGAAATGCGAAGTGCGTGTATATTGATGGAGGAGAAGGGCAGACGGGGGAAGGGAGGGGCGGGAGATCAAACGAGTGGTAGTGGGAAAGCAACGTGGAAGAAGATAAAGGAGATGGTGGAAGGAGGGCAGGGAAAAGCAGTGAACTGACGCTGGGCCATGGCAGTATAGTACACTCAGACGCCGTCTGTCAAAAAATAATGGAGGTGAATGGAGAGAGTGATAATGGAACGAACGGGGATATGTACTTGCCTCCTCAAAAAAAAAAAAAGAAAGGAAAGAGGTTTTTGGGGGGCGGGATGGTGTGAGTCTGATGAGGGCGAGGAACTGTGGCTATGAGGAGGAAGAAAAAGGAAGGCTTTTACGATGGGGAAGCTCTGGGGCTGGCTCTCGCAAATTATGGTCCAAGTCGAACCGTCGTTTTTAACAACTTTTTGTGTCTCAGTCACACCAACGAGAAAAGAGAAACAGGAATGGGATCATTATTAGAAAATTTTAAAAAGGAATGTGTTTCAATTTGGGCAAGCACGCTGGATGAGTGGGAGCCTGGGAGGTATTTGAGTCCGTACTATATTCTCGGGTTGGGTACGTGATATTCCGGTCACCTCCCTTTTCTCCATTATTTTATTCATTTTCCCCCTTCCGGTTCTTCCCCAAAACTTGAACATACATTCATTAGGCTTTGACGCCCCAACTTGCCCTGTTTTTTTTTTAAAAAAAAAAAAACTTCTCCCATTGATGTGATGTGACTGAAACAAAATATCTATTACTAGTACATGTCTCACCATCTATTATTTGTTTAAGATATAAAGTTCCTCGCCGACGTCCGAGTTCAGGCCCAAAAAAACTGTCCACGTCTGAGCATCAAATGTAAGCATTATTTGTAACTTCAATCTAACGGGCCAGAAGCTGGAAATAAATTGTTAAAAAACTATATGGTATAAGCAATATGCTTTGTCTTAAACTTTATATGACTTTTAAGAAATCTGGCAAAAGGGCGGTAAAGAAAATAAAGGGAAGAATAGTGATAGGCTTACTATCTAATAAATGCTCCCTGTACCATACTCCCGCCGCACATCCCAACCCTCACGCAGTACTTCCGTGGAATTCATCCTCACAGACGTGGATGCCATTTTTGGAGGTGGCACACCACCCGCTGACCTAATCCCTCTCACCGCTTTGTCCTCTCATAGCCATAACTATATATCATCATGTGATTTATTATGCATATTCACTTCGACTCCTATTTTATTTTACCCCCAGCCTATCTTCTAACCTACGATCATAAATATAAGAACCTGAATAATAATTTATATCTGCCCTCCCCACAGCTGTGGCCACGGACTTGAGAAGAAACAAACAGAAAGGCGTTCTATCCGCCCTCTCCAATTTTTTTTTTTAAATTTTATCCGTATTTATAAAGAGAGAAAGTGAGATTGATTTGTTAGTGTTGTGAGAGAAAAATTTAAAAAAATCGTACAAAACATATTTAATAAGTTTCTTGACATATGAATACAAGTTACTTATAACAAACATAAGAGTATATAACTTTGGTCATCTATTTGGCACGAGGCAAATGGAAGGAAATGATTGGGAAAAAAAAAATTGAAAAGGTGGATTTCTAGAATTCTAATAAAAATAAAATATAAAATAAAAGAGAAAAAAAAATTAGTTGAGAACTTTAACCCGAATTCTTCAATTTTTTAAATTTGGTTTCATTAAAAAAATTTCTCCTGTTTTTTTTATTTCAATTTTCTGATACCAAACATAGGGAACGGGAGAATCAATAAATAAAAAGACGGAAGCGTCCTAGTGGCCGACGGGGAAGAAGGGTGCCCTGGCGGTATTCTGTCACGATGACTTAATTAAAAGAAATTGGCAAATTGGTTAACATCACCACGCGTGGAACGGTGAACCCATCATTCGTATAACGTGGTGTTAAACTTAAGCGAGGCGGTCTATTATTTAATAGAAGCTAGAAATCCTTCCCCTGGTTTTGATCTTGGGCTTGTAAACATATTACTTATCCGGTCGTAAATATAAAACTTATTTTATAATACAATTTATACTATAAAATAAATTTTATATTTAGTACTGAATTTACTACTATATATATTACTCTGTTCAATGGAATCATTTATAGAAGCAGTAGAGACGATGTTGTTCGCCTCCTAATGAGAAACTTCACTCAGCAGTATTCTAAGGAGCCATTTGTTTCATGATCAATGAGATAATGGAAAGGAATGGGGTATAATTATATTGTTTATTCAAATATAAATTAAGGATAAGAACTATAATACCCTTAAGCCAATAAAACAATCAACAGCTTCAATTTCTTCCTTATCTAAATTAATTTATTTGCACTGGATTGATTTGATTTAAAATTTTAGTCTGGAGGATAAAATTTTTTAACAAGGACAAATATTATACACATGGAATTAAATTAAAAACAACTAACAAATACAACAACAACGAGAACGTATATAAGAGAAATAAACAGGGTGAAAGTTTATAGGGCATTTTGGTGAAAATATATTTGAAAAAATGCAATCAAATATATGTGAAACAGAGAAGGAGAGACCCCATTAATCATTCCATGCCCGACATGCCGGCAACCAAACAGTTCCTGAAATAACAACAATTCGTATTTACATCATATTTAAAAGAGAATGTGATTAGCATATCATTTTGACAAATGACCAAAATATGTTTAGTAAACAAAACTTAAACAAAATGATAGATAACTGTTGATTTTACTCCGAACAATAGAAACATGTTCGCCGACCGGGCAACAAGTTGGGAATGTAAACATGCGCGTTAATGTTTGGTTTTGTTAATATCTGTACCCATACATGCAGTTTTTGGAAACGTAATTATTACTGCAACCTTTAACTGTCACACTATAGTAGCAAGTTCTGCAAGTTCTACTTTTGCGCTGCCAAAAATAGACGAGAGCCTAAAATGATAGGTAACGTACTTGCGTATGGGTTTTTGCCCAGTTTTCGAGTCCTCGAATGCGGCGTTTAAATGCAGACTTAAAATAACCCAAACAAAAAATTGAACAGCCATTATTAGTAACATCACTTGTTATATATAGAAAAGCTAGGAACTAGCATCACTGAGAAGCTCATGAAAGATTGGTTCCCATCTATGACCATATAAACAAACAGAGAACGATACTTGGAAGATAAGAAACAGAGGAAAATAATTCAAGATCGAGAATGGTCAATGACTCAAATTATTACGTGACGAAACTTGTTAATGGAGGCATCAATGGAATTTTGTGGCAGACAAGGCTTGATTAAGAAAGCTGGCAACCGCCACCAATAGTGGTACAATTTCTGAGTCATTTGAGATGCTCGTTCAGCCGAATTCTGAGATTCCAAGTCTACCAATATGCCGTGTTGGGTAATTCTCTGTGCCAAAAAATAAAAATAAAAATCGGACGCTGTCTCTTACTGAATATTGCGCAATTGCAATTATCACTCTCATGACCATATATTCCTTCTCTGTCTCCTCCTAGACCAGCAAACCTCATTGCTGCCGATATCAGCAAAGACTGCTCTTGGTCGAAAAACCAATAGTGCTATTTATGTCTCACGCACATCCCTTGTGAATATATACACAAACATACTACTATTGCTTAATATAAGAACTAATCAATTAATTTAAATAGATTAAATTAGTTATTTGTAATAAATATATATTGTCTTTCATAAAATATCCCTGTTAATTAAGTACATTGACTGGAATTACCATTACAATTACAATGACTATCTTAGAAAAATGAATAAATATAAAAGATAAAGTTAATTAAATTTTATATTTAGGGATAAAATAAAAGTTAAATAACTTTTTATATTAAGGACCGTAGGTAGTGTATAAGAAGGATAGTACATTCGACTATTTTTACTTTAGCTCGTTTTTATTTTGACACCTATTACCTATATGCCATTTTTCTGGTATCGCCTCTTTACATGGTTACAATACGGTTCAGCTTCCCAATTGCTTTGCTGGCTGCTGGACTTGAAAAACAGATGCACACATATAAGAATTAACTTATAAATAAAGGCGAGAAAATCATAAACAGCGGAACACATTCTATGGAACTCTAATAACTTCTACTGAAATTAGTCAAATTACCGACATTTGTTACTTTCACAGTATACAAAGTCTCTGTGAAACGGGGGGACATATTTTAATCCATTTTTTCTGCCATCACGACTTCCATTTATTTTTGTTGCCATTGAAAAAATATGTATTCAAGTTATTTACGGGTATTGTGGCCAACAAATTTTAAGCTGAACTAACGGCTAAGGCAACTTTTTATTCTAAAGGAGATCAATACACCCACACACACACAAATGAAGAGAAGTCAGCATAATTTATGATAAGCAATCATTACAAGCCTTACATAGGACAGGAAATCTGTGACTGAAAAAATTCCAGTTCTTCAAAAAAAAAACTCGCAACTTAATACTATCGTGACAATCAGACAAAAATCTCGCTTTGCAGTTGCAATTTACACCAGCTTCAGCTGCCCGGCGAGGCTTGTTTTTCCGCCTGCTTCCATTTTGCCGGAATCCGACGGGCTTTTTTGAATCATCAGGATTTCGTTTCGCTCTGATGGGATTCTCCTCTTTCACAGGATCTATCTTTTCTTTAACTAGTACAGACCTTTTCCTTTTTCTCTTATTCTCAGTGCTTGAATTTTTAACTTCCACGTTCTCCCCGTCTTCTATGTTTCCTGACACTTCTTCTGGTTCTTCAATTTCATCCTTCAGTGACTTTTGTTGTATTCCACTTCGCCTGTAAGCAGAACCTTTGTCCTTTTCATTTCCATATTCTTCCCGTTTAGCAATAACCGATTGCTTCTTCCCTTTTCCTCTGCCTTTACCCATAGTGAAAAGGACCTTGCCGATGAAATCTACTAAACAGCTCTTGAAGAAAGCTGCAAGGGTAAAATAACTGCACTTAGAGGTCCAGGTGTGGGTCAAAGAAATGAATGGCAATGAAAGATGTCCAACAATTCAAAAGGCTTGTGATGAGGTAGTTCTGAGCACACTTCTATCTTTCAATACTCTGCACACCTCAAATCCTCTCATTGGCAATACTTCATCAGTATGTACTGCTTAAATCAGTTATCTGTGCATATTAAATCAACGCTACTAAAGAAAGATGTGAATCAAGTGGTATGCAGCACGGCTAATTATTTCTCTTCAGCACTCTGCCTTTAAAGGAATAGGTAAACAGCACGTCAGTTAAAACTCTGAAGTGCGCCACCAGCAATAAGCCAATAACTTTAGATATAGGACATAGCCAAGCTTTAAAAATAGAAGGATAGAAAGATGAAAAGGACATGGAAACTTATATATATATCCTACTGAATATAGTGTAGGCTAAAGGAAGAAAGAGAATAACTCAAGTTCACAGAGCACACAAAAAAATATAGGCATATGGCAGACAATCGGATGATTTCTTAGGACAACTTAGGTAACAACATTCTTGTTTCTTCTTTTCTTTTTGGTCATTCAGAAACGACATTCACGACAAGCAAATTATTCGCATGACGGATCTCTACGAAATTATGAGCAACCAATCCACGGAATAGGGTCTCCATTTCACATGGCCAGATCCTGTCAGGCCAATGACGAGATATTCCCGTATCTTATTTAATATCACTCTCCTCAGCAGCGATTTGGACCCGTTTACTCATGCAAATCCACTCAAAACAATAAGCTGAATCCCATTACGCAAAGAAGCGGACGTAACTGTGCATAAACATAAGGCCTCTTTAGTTCAGATTTATGACACTGAACTGCCACCAAAATCCAATCCCAATCTACCAAATTAAACATCCTAATTTCCACTGATCCCGATCAATTAAAACACTGTGACGAATAAAGTTTGAAGATTTATAGAGCTCCTTGCTAAGTTTCGTATACTAAAAAGACAACGGGATTTAATAGAAATTAAGAAAAGAAAAGGGAACACACATTTTGTAAGATCTACTAGAAATAAATAAAGCAAGAGAAACCAAGAGACTTGAGGCTCACCTCGTAGAATTTATTTACGTTCCGCATCTGAAACACGACGATGGCCCATTCTTATGAAATCTGATTACACAAATCCAGAAAATGTCAAAGCCGAAAAGAGCACGACAGCCTTCCTCTGAAAGGCCGGCTGCTGCAGACAGTAATGTATAACAGAGTCGATGAAGGGGCAGAAAAAATTGATCTAAATTAAAGATGAAGAAGAGCCAGATCAGAAAGGGACGTGATGGATAAATGTAAGAGATTGAAGCTGCTCCGTGGGTCAAGCCGAGCCGGGTTTGAGAGCAGTAACCTAAGGAAGAGAGAAGAAAAGAAGAGGCAAACGGAAAGCAATGAATTGGAGGCAGTAGGAAGGAAAAAGGTGGACACGAGGTATCGGAGTTAAAGCGAAGATGTTGAGGGGTCGGTATGTTCAAGTAGAGAAACGACACGGCAGCATCTAAACCTTCCTAAAGTAAATACTGTAATGCTATTTGTAATTTTGAAAAATGTTACGCCAGTTAATACTCCGATGTCAATATCTGTGTCTGTGTCTGTGTACCTCTCTCTCTCCCCTCTTCTTCCCCCCCCCCCCCATCATGATGAATGCGACTTCTATGCATGTATAAGAAACCCAAGTGTACTTAAAAATAAACTCTGTTAGTACACAAAATCTCATAAACAATGTAAATAAATTTTCAAACTCGAGGAAGCTTATGCCTATTCAAATACTTATATTTGTAAAATAAAAATGAAAAGTATGCAATATACCTCATGTTTAAAATAAAAATAAAAGTATTAGTTAGAATATAATTTTTCACTAAATTTAACATCCAATAAAAAATACTCCTTCATAAATAAATAAAAATTTAAATTTCATTAACTCTTATATAAATTTTAGTTTTATCCCCATATAATATGTATTTTATTTCATGCAAACAAAGTCAACATAATAATAAATAAAAAGTAAAATTATAAATTTATATAAAAATTTTTTTTCAGTACTTTATAAATAAGACAGAATTTTTTTTTTTATGCTTTATAAATAGCATCAGCAGAATATCACGCTTGATATAGAGAACCGCACAAAGGCCCAAACCGCCTCCTAATCCATGCTTTTTCAAGCAGGATTCCAGCGGTGCGCATTTTTTTTTTTTAAATATCTTTTTGGCCGAAATTTTCTTCCATTTTTCAGGTGAAAGCGTGAGGCGCAGGCGTCTCATAACATGAAATTTCTCACGCACCAACAAACAAACAACACACACTTGTGACAACTATTCTATTCCGTTAGTTAAGATAAACAAGAAACAATAAAAACAGACGTATCAAAAAAAAAAGAAACAATAAAAACAGATAAATAACACACAAAAAATAAAGAAACTAGATTTACAAACATATATTCACTTTTTTAAAAAGAATTACAATCCTTAATATAAAATCAGCTTTATTAATGGCATAGATATTCTCCTACATTAAGGGGTGTTTGAATAGAAATCAAACTATGGTTTTAAAAGTACTTTTACGATATACAAAGTAAATATGTGAAAGAATTTGTCTCATTTTATGAAAAAATACTTCTAAAAAACACTTTTGAGTGCTTTCAAACACCCCCTAAGGATAGTTTTAGTACCGATCATTTAAAAAAAACATTTTAAGTAAATCAATATATATTTTTTGACAAATTAGCACTCCCTCTGGTGTTTATCATAAACTTCGAATAACTAATTCCTAAGATAACAAATAATTAGTTGAAATTAATTAAAAATAATAAATAAGTTGAAAATAGATTTTTATTTACAATTTAAGAAATTACTTTAGAATTTTAAGCAAATACTAACACGTGAACAATTGATCAAGAGTCAAACACGTTTTCCTCTGTAATGTCTAGCTAGCTACTAGCAATGGACAGATTTCCTCTGTACTGCCTGGTTACCTGCAAATGTACTGGTTACCTGCAAATGTACTAAGAGAGGAAACTATTGAGCTCTAAACAAGCCTAATCTTCAATCGGCTATAACTATCCAGCATGCCAACCTATAGTAATCAAGTTAACTGGAGGCAATGCGTTTTCAGAACACATGCAAGTCATTTGTCAATCAACCTTTGATCCCTTGCGAGGATTAGAGAGAGACTAAAATATCGATATCAAGTCTAGATCATTCGTATGTCCAAAGAGTTAAAATGCTAGTTCTGACAATAAATTTCATTCTTCAAATCCTGCCAAAATTTAGGGCCACTTGGATGGCGATTTACATAACATTGTATGAACATGTCCTCTCTGCATGAAATTACAGCTCTCAAAGAAATATTGGGATCAGCACATCCTTGGTCTACAAGCCACTTATAGACTGAGAACCTAAGCCGGACTCTTTCAGTACTGTAGGAAAGATAAGATGGGAAGTTGACTAAAGTTGATACGGGATGTCTTAGTTCATTTACAAGATAGTCAATTTTCTGGTTGATTACATCTATTCTGAGGTTAAGAATCTGAGGGGCAACTTTGAGCATTTCCTGCACGTCTTGAGGATCCAAGCCAGCTTGAACAATACAGTTGAACCTCTCCTGGAGTTCTGCTCCCTTACCTCTAAACAATTTAAATGCATCTTTCATCTCTTTAGAGTCCGCATCATATCCCAATCTCAACAAGAACTCTGTCTTCCGCAACCGGGATATTTTCTCTTCGTCGGTGCCCGGCAAAGGCTTGACTCTTCTTCCCAATTCCCAATTCTTCAATTCTAACGGATTATCCTGTACGAACATCCGAAGTCGCTTCTTCCCAACATTCAAGTTAGAAAGTAAACTATTGGTTTTCTTCAAAGTGAATGAACCCAACATTAAGGAGTGAGAACGGAAAATCTTCCCAATCTCTGCAGCCTCCATTTCAAGTTCACTTAAGAATAGAAAACAATGCCTCAAGTTTGAAAGGAATTTGCTCACTCTTATCGGTGGAAAATTTATAAATATGAAGGATATTTGATCCACAGACAATCCAAATTTTAGCAGGAAGACAATAAGGGAGAGTGTGCTACTACCTCCCGATCCCTCAAAGAGAAAGTCAGGGTGCAGGTTGATTATGTCAGATAACTGTTGCTCAGTCAAAACCCTGCCCAAAAAGCACAGGAGCCTGAGCATCTGGCTCCAATTACAAGAAGTGTCATCCAATAAATGTCCCTCAATCCAGTTAATATCCTTAACATAATGCCTAAACTTCTCAATAACCTTAACAAAATCAGGGTTACAATCTCCAGTCAGAAGGTATGGGCTAGAAGCAATGACTTTTAGCAGAGTAGGCTGGCCAAGACCCAATCTTTCATAAGCTCGAAGCTTTGACGGTAAAACCCCATAATCATATCGAAACACTTCAGCTGCTTCCATATATATCTTTCCTATCTTATTACGAGGAATCCCATAGTTACAAAGAGCGTAATAGTTCTCCAGTAACAGTTGATCGTCACTCAAAAACATCATATTTTTGGGTAAAATAGATGGATATTCAGAGGGTGTTAGACCGATGCTTTCGAAGAAGGGCTCAAATTCATTGATGGGATGATAACGCAAATACCTGGAAACTGATCGCCCAATGTTCCCCGCTATGACTACTTTCTTCAGAAGCCCCTCAAGAAAGTAAGGCGAGTTTCTACTCATATGATCCGCATCCAAGTACTGGATGCTTCTAGTAGCATGCAGATACTCCAGCAAAGCAACTTTTGCTTCTTTTAGGGCCTGCTTGCTGGTGAGACCGGCAGCATTCACAGCCGCTTCAAGATCTTCACAACGGGCAGGCGGAACTGCTCTTTCAGCTCTGTATAGTCTAGGGATTTGAGATATAGACCCGACTAGGTTTTCCGATGACCTAAGTAGAAAATCAGGGGGAGGCCGTTGAAGAGTGAATTTCAATGTAAAATTTCGCGAGTAGATCATTACTGCTTCTGGGAGATTTAATGCAGGCAAGAAGGAGAGCTTAAACTTTTGTCGAGTGGAGCTGCGAGAATCGAAACTAGGAGGTGGGAAAGATCAAATATCGGGTACGACGTCGTCGTTATGGGGAGTGTCCGATCGCCACCTAGTTCGTCGACTAGGGCACAAAGTACAAATAAAGATTGCCGGCCTTTTTTGAGTCTGTTGACCGCAACCTAAGAGGCCCATTGGTGATCAAACCCAGGAGGCCCAGCCAATAAGCACTGTGTAGGAAAAGGTCCGTGGTCGATTACCATACCCCTCAGTCCCTCCCCCCGTAGACGGACCTAAATCCTCTGAAGTTTTCAGTCAGCTCATCTGAGCCCTCGATGAAGTGAGCTTACCTGGTGTTGCCACGTTATCTATGAAACGGGGCTTTGTTTTTACTCTTTCTGTGATTAATATACAGGCTAATTGGAGAGTTAATCTTGATTTTAAATTTAAAACTTATTTTATAAATTTATTATTTTTTTCCTAAATTATCCATATTGTATAATGATAACCAAGTATGAGAGAGGAAAGGAATTAAGGAAGATAATTAAAGTGTTTTAAGGAAAAAACATGTCATATTTATTATAATTAATTAACTTACTTAACTTTTTAAGTCTAATCAAATTAGTTTAAATATGTATAACATTAAGGACAAAGTAGTATTTCTCCTGTCCTAAATATAAGACCCTTTTCTAACTAGAAAAGGAGTCTTATATTTAGGACTGGAGGAGTATTAATTTATATTTATTATTGAGATTCTTTATTAAATTTGAAGTCTAAAGGTTCTAAAGATCTATTTATTTTCTGGTCAATAGTATCGTATCAACAAAAGCCACTTTATGAATGAGTTCGAGAGCAAATTTCTTGGCACAATTGGATTAGCATTATTCAAAAATTAAATTAATTGCCAATACATGGTAATTAGCATTAAATAATATATTTTTTACAGTTAAGGTCCGATACTGATTAAAATGAATTGGACCGTTTAATGAGATAAATCGTACCAAGGGGTTGGAAAGTTAAATTTATGCATTTTGCAAGAGACCAATTTTAAAGTTAGCAATCTTTGTTACGCTGAGCGAGGGCAATTTATATCATTTGATGTGATCCAACTTGGTTTTGAACGGGAAAACTGTTATTCTAACCTCCTTAAGCGGTCCAAGGCCAGTTGTCGGCTTCTCTTCCTCCCCATAATCTCTCTACAACAAAGCATAGATCCTTCAAACTGACTACGCTTAAAATTCCAACCAATTAACACCGTAAGAAATGAGACATTTTCACTTTGAAACCAACCACCGCCATTTAAACTGAAAACCCCTCTATCATTCCTGTTCACGTGCTTGATTATTACTCCAAACAAGTATATATGCCCAAACTATGCGTCTTAAGGTGCCTGTGAAAATGGAGATTTTCCCCCAGAAAGTAATCGATCCTCATCATTTTGGGGCACACACTTGCAGTTTGCTTCCCTGCTTTTGGTAATCTGACGTTATTTTGAGCTGCTTCCTCTGCTGTTTCACTAGTAATTGCAAATTCTGTTGTATCTGAACATCAAAAAGAGTAACCCAGACAAATTAAGCATAATTCACATGAAATAAGATTGGCAACTACTGTATAGCGTATACTACCTCTAGCTGTTCGTGGAGACTCCTTTGGACCTCACGTTGAAGTTGTAGTGATTCCTCAATTTGCTTATGGCTGGCGCGAGGAAAGATTTTATATGTTGGTATGATTAGAAAAACTAGACGTAAATGCATACAGGATTTACCGAGAATAAATTAAAAAGTGATGACTACATTTTAAGTTGAAGCTCGAAGACTCCTTCTGGTTGGTTTCCTTCTCCAGATCTTTCTGAAATGCCAAGAGGCAACCCGGTTAATTACTGTTTAGCAATGACGATATTTTGGAGTCTATATATATCCTTTGTGTTTGAAAACAAAAGCCCAAGAGAGTGAATACTGTTCGAAAATGAGAACTAAAACATCTGACCAATTTTGGAAATACATAGATATATAGCTTCCTATATTATCCGGCAAGGGGAGGAAACATGATTCATTTTAGCGTGCTGCAAAAGCTAGCAGATGGTAATGTCTAATTTAATTTCCAGAGATTTTCATGTCTACACTCACCCTCCAAATAAATGAAAAATTAAAGCTTACTCGCATAGTATATTCTATATTTTAAAAGTCTAATAATATAGGAAACTACTTTTCTAAACCATCTTTAAAGAAACTCCTCATTATAACTGGTCAAAAGAGAAAAGAAGCAGGTATGTCGGAATTTCATGTAGGGTTAAATGAATTCGATTGAAAGTGATGGTGAAAAAGACAAGGCACTCCGTAACACAAGCAAGTTGAACAGAAATAGTTTACCCTGCAGATCTTTCCGCACGCATATTGTAGAACGATATTTCTGCCGGGCAGATAGAGACAATCAGTAGGTATATTGACGAAGTTTCAAAACAACAAATGATTTGCTTAATATTAAGAATTTTAATCACCTGCAAATGACTTTTGATGTGAGAAATGGTCAGCATATCTGAATCCATCATCTTGAGTATGGACTTAGGCTTTGCCTCTACAATATAAGATCAATCAAATAACGAACTAATTATAAAACTGAGTGGTTATCCTCTGTCGCGTGTTACATAAACTTACTCTCGGGACCGCCAAGGCAATTAACAATCATGACGAAAGTCTCATGAAGATCCTTGGTCCATCTTATTCTTCTTTTACGAGTTAGAGAGCTCCTAGAAACAGTGTTGATAGGAGATGGAACACAAGCAACCCCACAAGCCCGTGAACACTGCTTATCTGGTGACTGAGTATAGAAAGCCAATGAATCATCATATTGTGTCGGTATTAAATAACGAAATCAAAAGATGGTAGTAATAAATAAGAACCTGCAGATTTCTATGCTGAAAGGAAATTTCCACGGGTTTCACTTCTTCAGCAGCGTCCTCGGCGCGCAATTCATTTTCTTTTGAGCGCTCATGTAAAGACATGTTATCTTCACCGAGAAACTCTCTATATCTGTCTGAATCAGAGGGACACTCACCATACATATCAGAAGAAGAAAAGCTTTCTTCGCTGCTGGACAAGAAAGATTCAACAATGGAGTGCAAGGAGTTGGTGAAACTAAATTGGGAGGCTGATGGATACTGTTTAGCGGTAACGGCGGAGTTATCCCCAGAAGATTTATGGCATGGAAGTGGCGAATCTATTTCCTGTGGGAGCTCAGAACAAAAACTAGAAGGAACATCAATCTGAGGGTCATGTTGGTGAAAGCTCGTCCAGGCTCTAGTTCCACACAAGGCAGCTGATGTTTGAAGAGGAGACATAATGTTGAAGGGTAATCCAATGGTTTCGAAAGTTTGGTGTTCTGGTCCTCCAACTTTGGACAGACTTTGAGTTCCTGCGCCGGATTCCCCTTGAAGGTTGAAGATCTGCGGAGAATGGTGCATCCTTCTCGCTATCTTTCTCTCTAGATACGCTACCTTTTTCTGTATGTGAAGGTTTAGCTACCTAGCTAATGCCAAAGTTCCAACGCGGGCATCTGTTTATTAATTTCCTCTGCTCACCAAGAAGGATAGATCAAATACTTGAAATTAGATTATTTAAAGTTTATATTTGTAATGATGTTGGAGGAAATGAAAAAGAGACATGCGAGTGGAGGTGAAGTAAAAGTAGCGATGTATGTTGACATGATATCGTCTCCATGCATCATGCGAAGTTTCTTTAGAGTTTAGACCAAAAAGGGAAGTGAATTTCCTGTTCAAAGGAAAAGGGTTCAATAATACATTTGTGTTTGACAGATATACATCCTCTTCGTTGGTTGGCTTTACAAACTCGGAAACAAGAGGCTGAGGATAAGACAAGAGAATATTGAAACAGCGGGATAATTGAATTCTTCAATTAATATTTATTGTTTGGATTCGTCTCTTCAAGAGAGTAGTGGGTATGCATTCTGGAAGGTGAATTATGAGTGTGTTTATCATGGTCAGTTGTATTTGAGGAGCGTTCATGAATTAATTCTGAGGAATCTGAGGTGTTAAATAATCATCTTCGCGGGGCAATCCGGATTTAGCTGTGGTATCACTATATTGGGGTTGGAGTGGGACACATCCAAAGTGATTAAGAAAGAAGAAATTGCGTAGAATGAGGACATGATTTTGGAGAGTGAGTGAGAAGGACATAATATGTCAACATTATGGAGTAAGGAGCTAAGGACAATGTTGACCAAGATGCGACTCGGAATTATTCAAGCTTCAAGGCTTTTTTCCCCTACGCACAGTATCCTCCTGAGGCATCTGCTGTATATATATGTCTTGAAATTTACAATATTTTTTGTTTTGTTTTGGAAAACAAGTCTTAGGCAAATAAAGAACTTTTATAATTTGTAAATTGAACCAAACATTATAGGGGATTTTTTTTTTGTTAAGCCGCATGCTAGCTTCGCACATATCTTGGCTATTATGAGACGGGCAGCAGAGTGTGATTGTTGAGTAAAGAACAGAGTGTAAAACAAGAAAAGTTGTAAACTCATATTTATAGCTCTTTCGATATATTTGAATAAAAATCATAAAAATCGGCATTTACAACACCATCCAATCACTATCATAACCAATGGATGTAGATTCTTAATTATCCTCCGCACTCTTTACATACAGATGTATGTATTGATCCAGGCTATACCATCTCTACAGACAAATGGTTTAGAAATAGGCAACATCTCTGATGCATCTTCTTCCAAGGACGAAGGTCCAAACAAAAAAGGAGAAATGGCTAGGAAGGATGCCCCTTGTACCGAGGCTCAGTTTTTTAAAATTTAACAAACAAAATTAGTCTAATTGATAAGAAGTTAGTTTATAACTTATAATATTATGAGTCTGGATTCTGTTGGCAACGTAAGAACCTTGTTAGTGGATAATTTATAAGTAGTATCTTTACAAGCGCTTTTTGAATCTAAAAATATATCTAGATTCCGATGAGTCTTTGAGATTCAACTCACTTAAACTTTTTATAAGTGAAAAAAAAAGTGTAAGCCTGGCTATTGAGCAAAAGATTCTTGCTTTTCTCTTATTTTCTTTCCAACTTTTTTCTTTTTTGTGTGGCCAAGAGTAAAAGGTGCTATTTAATATATAATCACAACTATTCTCTGCCAAGTGTATGCGCCGGACGATTTGCGATCGCATTAGGGCAACGACAAGTGGATTCCTGTCTAAAGCATAGGCTTGTACATAAATGATACAAATTCAATTTTTTAAGGCGTGCCCTTTCTCACCACCGTCCACAACAAAAGACAGAGGACTAATTACAGATTCGTTTTCCACCGAGAAAAATCTTCTTAGGAACTTGGGATTATTTAACCTACAAAAGGGAATCCCTCAACGGAATTGTCTTTTTGCTGTGCTCAAGAGAATCACGCATCTCATTGCTTTCCTAATACTTTGGAAACAGAATATAACATCCTGTATAGATAACTGCAGCTTGGATCTCAGTTAACCCTTAAAAGCCTTGTCTAGCTACAAATGATCTACTCACTGGTGTCATGAAAGTGTTTCTTGAGCAATATGAAGGTGAAGTACAAGGATTCTGGTTTCCAAAGAGCACAATAATCTTGTGTACTACAATCACAGAGTTTTCTGATGGAGGATTAATGACGATATGTTTGTGCCATAGAGAATTTGTACGGTGTGGTTTATATTTTGCTCATTAAAATTAATCTTACACATCTGAAGAGCTACCAAGTACCAACCATGTGCCTGGAGAGCTAACATATCTTGGAAGGGAAGGAGGAATTTCCAGACCCCTCGGCAATTGAAACCTCAACCTCTTTATGACTAACTGATGGATCATCATTTTCTGTACTGCCCAGATTCGAGAAGCTATTACATGTTTTCTGCTGCTGGTCAAACATCATCTTCAGCTGCTTTCCTTGCTCTTCAATTCGAAGCTGTAATCTTCTCTGAATCTGGGTACACGAAGTAAATTAATTAAACCACTCTAAACACGTTGTTACATAATCTGAATGCTCTAGAGAACATGAAGACACTGTTCAAACTAGAAGTGTTATTCTCATAGAAATGGAGGATATAGTAAGCATTCACCTCTAGCTGTTCATGGAGACGCCTCTGAACATCTAGCTGTAGCTGAAGCGCCTCTCTGATTTGCGAGCCACTGCAATTCAACAGAAGTAAATCTTGATGGAACTAATGGAACTTCAAAACCATGACAAAGGTTCAGGCAAAAGAAGAATTACGTTTTAACATCAATTTGATGCACATCGTCTATATGGGCTTTTTTGTCAGACTTCCCTGCACCAGAAAACGAAGTTTTAGATCCCAGTATGGGGTGTAACCTGCCAAATGGATAGAGATAAGAACAATGTGCACTTCAAAGATCATATAGAGTTGGGAAAGAAAGTCAAAAGGTTAAGAGAATATCACTTTATTAATCTATCCTTTTTTCTTTTATGTAAGAAAAGCGATTACAAAAGCCAGAGACGGCTACATGTGTTTCTGGGATGTTATTCCATCACTGTCCTCCTCCGCATCAGAGCAAGACGGAGGATGATAAGAGAACAACATTAGTAGTAATAATGCCCAGTCCCACTAGAGAGTTTCAACGTAACTACATCTACGTGATTATTGTTAGTTTACGGTTTTTCCCACCTACTAGGAGAAAGCAGACTGTATTGTTTCACAGCTCAAACTCTGCCATTATGATCGATATAATCGTATTTTCTCTCCATTGCAACTTCCTATATAAATAATTTCAGTGAGGAGAAAAGCAAGATTGTTATTCTCTCCTCGCACTACTTTTAGTCTTCCAAGATAGTATAAGAAATCAGTAATTGTGAATTGTTAATTTTAATTACTGTTTGAACAATAAGTTAGTAATCATAACCTGGGAAAACAGTGAAGCTCATCCTCTGCGTTAACAAGTCTTGACCACAAAAATATTTGCTCAAGATTTATGAAATATCAAACAAAAAAGATTTACTTGGCAAAGTAAAGAAAGGAAAGCACCCTGCACTTTTGCTGAGAATTTACCTTGAGCTGGATCTGGCATGTATTTTGCAATTCTACATTTCTGCAAGACAGGTGAGGGGAAAAAATGTGTTTTTAGGACGTCTGAAAAGACGATACCAACAATCATGATGAAGAAACTCAAAACTCAAAATACCAAACCTGCAAGTGACTCTTTACATGGAAGATGGTCAGCCCATCTGTGTTCATCAGCTTTAATATGGCTTTTGGTGTAGCCTCTACAGTCAAGAGGACTCTCAGATGTTAACAGCTATTCATATTTCTTCACAACAATTTGAAATTAACAAGTTACTCACTCTCAGAGCCCCCAAGGCGATTCACACATTCAACAAACTTCTCGTGAAGATCCTGAGTCCACCTTATACGTGATTTACTTGGGATTACTGCCCCACCATTAGAAGTAGGATTTCCATTAATTGTAACACTTGCTGCCGAAACCGTTGGACACAGCTTCTCTTGCTGTGAGGAGAAGCTTACATGAGAAAGAGGTAAATTGTATGACCCACAACCAACCTGCTGAAACATGATGCAGTAAACATAATATGAATTAATCTACAGGGAATATACACTGGACTAACCCAGAGAAAGAACTGGCAAAATTACTTACCGTATGGTTTCCCCTGACTGAGGCATAATCAACATCAATGAACAATTTGTGTTGTTCAGTTGGAAGAAACTTGTCGGTTGGCAAACGTCCACATGGAGTTTTATTGGGTCTTTCTGGGTCTACTTGGGATCTAGCCACTGCTTGCAAGGGGTTAGATGATTCGACATTGAAGTTAACTTGGTGTGGCGAATGATCCAAGAAAGTGTTTTCCCTGGGAGATTGATACAAAGGGAGTTCCAAATCGTGAATCTTAGAAAATGGAGAGCCAAAAGAGGGATTATTTATGTTCGCTTGGGAATGATATTGCGGAAACCCCATGCATCGTTCTGCTGCATAAAAAGCAGAAGCGGGGGATTCAAAACCGCCCATAATGGTGGTTGATGATTTTGCAGAGCCCATGTGTGGTGACTCTTCAGCTCCTCCAACACCAATATTCCAAGCCTGTTTGACATCAAAACATTGATGAGAACGATGACTAGATTCATAATTGAAATCCTCACTTAGTCCCCGCCTCTGTTGTATCTGCCCTTGCCAGTCAACTCTGTTCTCGTTCATCTACAACAAGTTACAAAACCCGAGCCAAATGGAAGAAGAAGAAGAAGAAGAAGATTGGTAAGGTACCAGGGATAATAATAAATTTGGCCTAAGGCATGAAATTCTCTCTTATATTCCAAAAGGCTTGAGCTACAAGAATTGGATCTAAATGTCGAAATTCCACCATGCAGGGCCGTTAATAATTAATTAGTTATTCTTAAAAAGGATAGGAACGAACAATAAGCAATGACAAAACCAAAGTACAGAGCACG